CCAACAATCACGTATTGGGAACAGATAGCCCAGCCCTTCAAGGCGCCGCAATTCGCTGTACAGAGTTGTGTCCCTTTGGCACACAAGAACCTATGATTGCCGGTTCGAATCCCGGTTCGTCCCGATTATTATGTTTCTGTGTTTATCAACATCCTACCCGTGCTGGTGGGGTTTTACTGCAGTGTTACATGTGTGACGCCTGTATCACCTGGGGCTTCCCTCCTACATTAAGCTGACTCGTCTTGCCGCACCTGGAATATAGTATTACGGGGCTAAACCCAACTCACTCACTCACTCTCACTCACTCACCAGGCGGAATGGTGGCTGTGTGATATAACCAAGAAAACAGTCTCTGTTCAGGGTGGAGTCATACAAGACTGATATCAATACCAACAGCTGGGACTAGCTTCAGTGTTACCTGAAATACAGCCAGCGACGTACACTTTAGCTCTTTAAACACCACTTTTAAAAACTAATTATACCATCTTACAAAATGTCTACTGTCTCCAGTAAGTTTGTCTCTGTCATTGATACCCCGTCCTGTAAATGGCTGATGTGTATTGTCCTTTCATCATAAGTTTCAGCCCTCTGTCCTTTTATCATTAGTTTCAGCCCTCTGTCCTTTCATCATAAGTTTCAGCCCTCTGTTTGACGTCAGTATTCACAACTAAAGGTTTCAGTCCTCTGTGTGACGTCAGTATTCACAACTATACATGCTAGTTTGTTGTTTAACACAGCAATCTCTCAGCTGTCTGATCGCCGTCTGTGAATAATCGAGTCTGGACCAGACAATCTAGTGACTGACATAATAAAGCTCAAACTACGCAATCGGTATTCGACGATATTCATCAACCAAGTCAACGAGCCTGACCACGAGTCACGGTAGATCATTAAACCACGATGGAGAATGAAACGTTAACTTTTAATTATTCAGGTAGAACATTAATGGATTCCAAACAGATTATATGAATATTAATAGATATTGATATATTTGGAATGGGTATAAATATGAAAAATGCATATATATATATATGCAATGCGCAAAACCATCACCCTATACAAAGAGATAGGAAAATACATAAATACGCGTATCGTATTGTCTGATATAAACAATGGCAGTCACACACACGTGATTGTGAATTAACAAGGGTCCGGCCTTGACCTGAGATAGCCTTCTAGGCAGATATATGCAGGCTAAAGGCTGCGTGCTACACTCCAACAGGGAGAGAGTTTCGCCATTAGGCGTGTTTAGCAATAACCCAGAAACATTGCAGCAATATTGCAATAGGAAAACAAAATTAATTGGAATCACAGATCGTACGCATAATGGTAATGGCATCCTGCACCATTGATGCCTGTGCCAGCCCGCATGACGCACTGTGGGTTATAGGGACGTGTAATACTATACGACTGTCATAGGTTTTAATTGCAGAGAGTCACACTGCAACATATATGGTTACAGTAAATTAAATAATGAACATGACTAATAACCAACTGTTATGTTTGTCATGGCCAGTTGGTGTATATTTTAGTCGAAATGCGTATAACAAACTACGCATGTCACGAACTAACGTTAGTGGTCCCCTTGGGTTCGTCATAACCATTGTGCACTGTACCCTGCATTTCGTTACTGGTGAGTGAGTGAGTGAGTTGGGATTTACGCCGGTTTTAGCAATATTCCAGTAATATCACGGCAGGGGACACCATAAATCGGCTTCACACATTGTGCCCATGTGGGGAATCAAACCCAGGTCTCAAGCTTGACGAGAGGACGCCTTAACCACTAGGCTACCCTGCTGCCCTATTTGGTTACTAAGTGGGCAGATAAACGCCGATCTAATGCCAGCCTTAGGCTGTGGTGGGGCGAGAGCATGACACTAAACTATCAGTTAGATAAGTTAGATAACACATGGCGTCAACACTGTAAAGGTATAGTAGTGTACATTACAACCTCGCCGACCCTCGTGAGTCGGGGGATTCTGTTTGGAACTTGTTCACAATATAAAATCACTCTGTTAAATGATTCTTTAATCCGGACATACCCTAATCCGCACTACTGGAAACATCAATGTCCTATTTGACGGAGCTTGACTGTCGTATTATTTTTTTTATATTTGCACGAAACCTTAAAATGCACAACGAAATTATGATAGTCCTGTGATTATAGTGGTTGCCAGACCTCGGGGTCTCGTTCGATTCCAAAGCAAAGAATAATTATTTCGTCGTTTAGTGGAGTCAAGCGCCTGTTTGAAACACATGTCTTCAAGTGGCTAAGTGTCAACACACCACGTTAATTGATGGCAGTACAATGGAGCTGATTAGTCTGGCGCTATCGGCTGTGTGGTGATATATCCTGTCATCCTTGTCCAGCTGTAGTAGAACAGGGATGTGGCTGGAGACCGCGACAACCCATATTCACTGACTGTAGATAAATAATTATGTAAATATTGAAATAATTTCTGCGCTGAAAAGATTGATTGAACTGTTAAATATTTCGTCTTCGTGGTGTAAAATATCATTCAGTCATTCATTCATTTATCAAAGAACATGATGTATTTTACCCCCGCTTCCAGGAAATTGTCTGAAGCGCTCGTATAATCTCTATGTGGCATGCCTGATACTGGAGTTACGACCAAATTTTTTCAAACCACATTTGTTAAAACATTTTGTATGCTTCCTTGTCTGATGTGTTTAGTTTCAGTAAAATATTTCGTTTACTGATGGAAATAACAAAATGTACAAATCGTAGATACAAATATAGAGATGCAACATATTCGCCGAATCCTTTCGAACAGTCTGAAGATAAATAGTTTTTATAGTGACATCTTTAGATGATAGAAACATGATGTATGCTGTGGACAACTCATTTTAAACAATTGCAACCCCTACTCGGTCACTAACTAACTATATGGTGTCCGACCACAGTATCGTACAGTGCCTATAGGGTGTTCATCCTTTTATATATCGTACAGTGCCTATAGGGTGTTCATCCTGTTATATATCGTACAGTGCCTATAGGGTGTTCATCCTGTTATATATCGTACAGTGCCTATAGGGTGTTCATCCTGTTATATATCGTACAGTGCCTATACGGTGTTCATCCTGTTATATATCGTACAGTGCCTATAGGGTGTTCATCCTGTTATATATCGTACAGTGCCTATAGGGTGTTCATCCTGTTATATATCGTACAGTGCCTATAGGGTGTTCATCCTGTTGTATATTGTGCACACATTGTATCCCCATTGCGTAGATCGATACTTGTGTTTTTGATCACTAGATTGTCTGATGCAGACTCGATTAATTGTACAGAGCCTTTTTTAGGGTGTTCATCCTGTTATATATCGTTACAGTACCTATACGGTGTTCATCCTGTTGTATAGAAAGATCGATATGTGTTTTGATCACTAGATTGTCTGACCCTACCCTAGTACTATATAAAAGGGTAGGGTCTATATACCTATATGTCTTTCTAACGCTGTTTCTAAGCATGACACGCCCCTGTGCAGACCGCCGCCATATAGCTGGAATAAGTTACAAGTACGATTGCTGTTACTGAGTGGTGAATATTACCACCATTGTCTTTTCTGTTATAAAAACTGCTCTTGCATTATCCTTCTCCTGAACTTGTACTGCCGCTCTATCATAGTGATGACATTTGTACTGTTTGTATTGATTTGTGACTTAGTTAATTACATCACATCTTGTGTTGTCTGTAGTCACACCTAGTTCTTTTATGGACTGATTCCGGCTAACTACATGTACTGGGTTTCAGTTTAGGAATCAACACTCATACCCCAGTGCCATAAGGTGTCCATAGTGATGATACTATGTCCATAAAGTATGGTGTTTGTTTGTTTGTTTGTTCGATCATTCATTTGTGCAGAGTTTATGTGTGATGTATGTGTATATGTGTATGTACTAAACAGCTAAACGGGGTGTTTGGATGGTGAGCAATATTGGGAGGACTTATGCTTTCTTGTTGTCATCTTTACTAGCAAACCAGCTGTATATCTGATGTCACACTGAATTTCGTATTATACACATATCTCGCAACTTTTGAGAAACAATTTAACCTGGGGCCATATTTATAAAGATTCTTAGGGTGCTTATTAAGAATTCTTAACTGTAAGAATTTTTGTGAGAGTTACTCCTAAGACTTAGTCAAAACGTTACTCTATTAACGTTTATACATAAGAGTTAACTTTTAACTGAGGCCGAATTTAGGAATTATAAGACGAAAACTACGAAAGTTCTAAGAATCTTTATAAATACGGTCCTTGATCTTTTTACTAAGATTTCAAAGCACGTCACACGACACTTACCAACTTCACCCCAGAAGTTCCATACTCTTGTTTTACCCTTCCTGTTAGTTTTAGTTAATGTCATCCACTATATATAGTTCCTTGACCTATATCAAAGGAACCATAAGATCTTACAGAGATTGCTGTCGGGACGTGGTTGTCCTGTGCATGACTTTTTTCACAGGTAAGCGATATTCGACCTCTGGTATAAATAAGGAATATTCGACCTGTGACGTAAATAAATGAAACTCGTTCAAAAGCAATGCGAAAGAGCACCCATACTATCAAGTGCAGATGATGTTACTGTTTTGTCCTTACTTGTTAAGAACGGTATAATGTGTGAAGCCCATTTCTAGTGCCCCCAGCCGTGATATTGTTGGAATATTCCTCAAAGCGGCATAAAACCATACTCACTCACCTAGTCGTACTTATTTATCGTCTTACCCAGCAATACTTTAGCTAATGGACGGCGATCAGTGTAAAGAATCGAGATCCACCCCAAGTTATGTGACATGTATTAGAACACACAGAAACACTACTATAGCCATCCCACGACATGCTACCAGGACAGTATAGTAGATAGGTCTCCCAAGTGGGCGACAAGACATGTTGTTTAGTTCATATCATTATCTCAGGTGTAATCAGCAACGCGTGGGGCTATCTGTGCACGTGGGCTGGACGTAGGCCGGTATTTAGTGGCTTAGATGATAAGGCTATCCACACTGCCAGTATGATTTCCAAACAACTTGCAGGTAATGTCTATTGATAGAGCTTATATATATGTGCGTATACTATTGAAATCGCACTAGCTCAATTTCGGGTTTGGTACTGTAAAATATGCATTATTTCTAAATCTTTGTTGGGCTGCAAACAGTGGACATTACCTGTATCAGAGTCACGCCGATCGCAAATATCCATTAATGTTTGAGATGTGTCAAGTGAAGTGTGGGGGGGTCATCACACAGTTACCTCCCTTCCGTTACAACGCGATCTTTCAATCGGACACACTCGGTTAATTCCGCTACCTTACTCTCAGAAGCAGAGAAGTGGACACGGTGCAGACAATCACTGTACACAGTTGAAAGAAAGAAACCTCCGCATGTTTTGGAATATCTTTATATTTATGTACGGTTGATTTTTTCAGTCGTCTGCCTCCTGGTTGGTCACGTGATATGTGAGTTCCATTTCATTTATGGTAGTATTGTATACATACAAACAAAAGTCTGTTATTGCCTCTTACTACATGGTAATACTTACCAGTGTGAGTGTGCTTAAATGAATGTATAGATAACTGAAAATGTACCCCGCAAAGCAGTAGAAACAGCACACAAAACACACATTTAAACCTTGTGATGGGAGGTATTCTATGCCTTTGGTTTTTCACGCCGACTTACGGTGTTCGAATCCCCAGACAGGTGCAGTGTGTTCCTTGTGTTCCCATGATAATTGCTGATCGCGGCATCAAAACATACGTTGTCATTGTAACGTTGTTTAATGATGTTTACCTGCACAGCTTTCATACAATATGACAATACTTGGCGTTGAGTTACACCTTCAATGGAATTATAACAGGTTGATGTGTTTTGTGAAATCTGTGGGTGTTTCTAAACGCCTTAATAGTGACGTATCGTCCTTGTCTTTGTTGGCAACATTTGAAGCATCTGTTTTACACAACAGGTATGAACAGTCGAGATGACAATATGGCTGTAGAACCTCATTTCTCAACCACTACAGGTAAGACCATCCAATGTAGATGTACACACAACACACATTATATATATACACACAACACACATTATATATATACACACAACACACATTATATATATACACACAACACACATTATATATATACACACAACACACATTATATATATACACACAACACACATTATATATATACACACAACACACATTATATATATACACACAACACACATTATATATATACACACAACACACATTATATATATACACACAACACACATTATATATATACACACAACACACATTATATATATACACACAACACACATCATATATATACACATAACACACATTATATATATACACACAACACACATTATATATATACACACAACACACATTATATATATACACACAACACACATTATATATACACACACACATTACACATATATATATACATATATGTACACACATTATATATGTACACACAACACACATTATATATATACACACAACACACATTATATATATACACACAACACACATTATATATGTACACACAACACACATTATATATACACACACAACACACATTATATATATACACACATAACACATTATATATAACACACATTATATATAACACACATTATATATATACACACACACATTATATATATATACACATAACACACATTATATATATACACATAACACACATTATCTTACCTTCATGTAAAATACTTTAATTTCAATGCTCAATGACGCTATAACAAGTTTCCGTGTCACCCCTCCCAGGAGGGTGACAACCGGAAAAATATTACCCGCTGTCACGGTAACCGCCGAACTCCCCGCCGAGAAGCTGTATCGCTAACAATCGTATGACGTCATAATATGACGCATGCAGTGCACGGAGTTGGAAAACCCTTCGTTTAGCTGTTTTTTAGTCCTCTATTTGCACGTTTATTTTACCGACTTTTACTGCTTTATCTAAACTATTGTATACATTGCAGTGTTTACACACCCAACTTACACATAATTAACCATTTTATAGCAGTTTTAAGCTTGTCAGAATATGTTTCACTGATTTTGAAAATCCATTTTAGGGACAGTCGCCATTTTGTTTACATGTCATGTAGTCAGTAGCGAGCTTATCGATCTTCAAAATAAAATAAAATGATATTTTGTACATTTAACTTGGCGATAAGATAAATACGTTGCACACTTCTCCCTCGGGTAATACGGTCAGATGTACACATCTTTGTAGCAGTGTTATTCCTCGCCTACCGGCTCTGGTAACACTGCTTCAAAGATACGTGCATCAGACCGTATTACTCTCGAGAGAAGCATACAACTTATAATGTATATGTATACACTCAACACACAAACCACACACACTACACATTATATATCAGAGGCGGATACAGCTTTTTGAGAAAGGGGGTGCACACTCTTGAAAAAAAAAGGGGGGGGGGGGTTGCACACTTCATTTTCACCCGTATTCATGGGTCATTTAATAAACTTTCAGGACAAAAGGGGGGTGCGCACCCCTTCAAAACACACACCCCCCTCCCCCTTTCTGGCTATGTATATGTACAGTCAGGATACACGACACAGCCACTACACACGTTTACACAACACATGGGCGGTGGGGTAGCCTAGTGGTTAAAGCGTTCGCTCGTCATGCTGAAGACCCGGGTTCGATTCCCCACATGGGTACAATGTGTGAAGCCCATTTCTGGTGTTCCCCGCAGTAATATTGCTAAAAGCGGCGTAAAAATATACTCACTCACTCATTACACAACACATGTGTTACATATGGATTGATATAACATACAGCTTGTTCAGCCGTTTGTGCCAATTGACCTCCCGGGTCATGCATATGTAGAGTAGCTCAGGTCAAGCTGAACAAGCTGTACAAGATCCTGCTGGAATATGGACCTGCTGGAATAGGTCACCTGCCATACACTGGAAGACAGGACAAGCACTACGCTGTAGAAACCTGTCTTTGGGTCATTGTAAGTGAAGTTAATGGACAGAAATGGAAACAGGAATATACAGTTGAAAAATACAGTTCATGCATTGTAGAACATGGCGTGACGTCACAGGTAGCCTGGTATTGACGTTAACCCAAACGGTCAGTGTTTGACACATTACACCGACTTATACTGACTTTTGTTAGACACAATTGTCATATCAACCATATAAACTTGCTAATTCAATTATTTACAAGTTAAAATTTCCATCTCGTAGTTTTAGCAACGACAACACCGACGACGACGCCAACACCTACTCCCCTAGTCTGTGAGGACAAGCTATCAACATGCAGCATCTACAAGTCTGCCTGCGAGGCGGACACACAACAGAAGTGGGCGGAGAAGTACTGCGCCAAGACTTGCCACCTGTGTAGTAAGTCAGCTCACTACATGCATACACTGATACTCCTGGTATATACATTGTCATTTCATATCTGGTCTCAGTAGGTAATGTGTCAAATACAGAGATAGTATGATGCGCCAAAATCAGGTACCGAAAGTAGAATGACGTTCTAATGAAGACAGGCGCTGTATGACGACAACAGTGGCTAGTAATTGTGCGAGTGTGTTGATCAACTACTGCGAAGGCTTCAAAGCTGCAGCTTGTGGTTTGGCTTCTGCCTCAACATCAGTGATCAGAGCACGCAGGCCAGATGCTTGGGGCATCTCTTCAGTGAGAAATGTCAATTTATTTTAAATGTCTTGAAAAGGGTTTCTAGAAGCGAATTTTTCCAAAGAGGTTAACTGCACTGCCAAAGTGTTGCCAAGTCTACAGAAAGCATGGCATTAGGAGGGAGGTTGGACAAAACACGCACTGGCATTATAGCGGAGGTGGCATTATAACATGGTTCAAACATAGAGGAGGAAAGCTAGTCTGGTAACCCTTGAAATGATACTATTTCTGCTATATGTTGTGATTCTCTGTCACTGGCGGTTGTAGTACTCTCCCCCTTCTCTCTTCGCTTAAGGTAATTTTACATCATCATGGTTCTACCTTCAGACGAGACGACAGTAGCGGTGACACTGCCAACAAGGCCATTTACTGGTAGGCATTCAGTCGGATGTTTCTACGTCATATATCTAACACTGTCAAAACAGTACATCAACATGCATTCATCTATTCAGGGGTGCGCGCGTGGTTGAGTGGTAAAGCGTTTGCTTGTCACCTAGGTTGGATTCCCCGCGCGGAGCTACATCTGTGTTCCCAATGATGGTGACAGCATAGTGTGTATTGTTCAAAATGTGTAATATTGATACAATAGTGGATGAGTGAGTGGGTATAGTTTTACGCCGCTGTAGCTATATTCCAAGACGGGGGACACCATAAATGGGTTTCACACATTGAGACCAATGTGGGGAATCAAACCTGGGTCTTCGGCAGAACATGCGAACGCTTTACCCATCAGGCTACCCCATAGTGGAGATCAGACCTTAGTTTGCAGTGTACATAATGTATGGTGTATAACGAATAGCGAGGAATGGCGTAATGAGCAGTGTGTGGCCAGCGTGGTGTGTTGTTTATAATGCATGACGTTTAGTGTGATATTTAGTGTGTGGAGCTTAGTGTACATTCTGTTGTGTGAGTTATATTGCCCTTGAGCGTGTAGTGTATAGTATACTGTTTAAAAAAGTAGGGGAACTTCATTTTTAATTTACGATTGAAAACATTTGGAGATGTATCAGAGTCAATCAATGTTGATATGATAATAATTACATGTTTTGAGAGTGCATCACCACTTGCACTTCCTAATGACCACAGTTGTTTGTACAGTAATCGTTCTTGAAAGATGATTGGTGTATGTCGTGAAATTTGCATGTGTACGATTTTCATTTTCAAAGCAAAAAACGGCTTGAAACAAACACTAACAACTGTGTGATGCAAGATGATTGTCATAATTAATGGTCTGCAGTGATTTATCGACCTTCTTGAAAACCGTTAAAATCAAGAATGACACCCAATGCACGTGTATGGGGCGACTGCGTGTGCACGTGCATTACCTGCGTTCGTAAGACGTCTGCCTTTGAAAAGTTGATTAACGCTTATACTTTCTGTCCAAATTAAAAGTTCATGTTCCCCTATTTTTTAAAAAGAGTATATATATATATAGTGTGTGTTGTGTTGAGGGTATTATTTTGTGATTAGTGTGTGGTATGTATTGCTCTGTATGACATGAAGGTTATATAATGTATGACATATAGTGTGTAGTGTATAATATAATGTGTACTGTTGAGTAGATGATGTGTAACGTGTCGTCTACTCTCATGTATGACATATAGTGTGTACTGTATAATATAATGTGTACTATTGAGTAGATGATGTGTACTGTAGAGTAGATGATGTGTAACGTGTCGTCTACTCTCATGTATGACATATAGTGTGTACTGTGTAATATAATGTGTACTATTGAGTAGATGATGTGTAACGTGTCGTTGTCCTTCAGTGTTGTAATGTCACCCTGATTCACTGCCAGGTCCAACAGTGTATCACACGCTGCCGGCGACTTGTGTCGACAAATGGAGCAACTGTGACTCCTACCCTCACTCATGCGCGCCGGTGTACAAAGACTGGGCTTCCGTCAACTGTGCGCGATTCTGCTCCTTATGTTGAGTACAGGAATCCATTCCGTGTAGAAAATGTCGCTTTGTGTGTGCACTGTGAGATGGTCTGATGTACCACACAAGGGTACTATTAAATGACGTCAGATGGCATCACATTATGGTCCAATTTATTCCTATAAACAAGGCTCTTATTAGTGAGTATATTTTTCTCACTTCTACTCAAGATGAGACCCCGTTCAGAGCGGCGTTAAACGTAACACATAGGTTTCTGCATCGCCTAAGGGAGACAACTATGCACAGTGCACCGTGGTCTCCATGGTGATAGAGGTGAGCATGACGTGTTTTATATGTTTGTAGTGCATTAAGTCACTATAGCAATAGTTCTCACTGATGTACATTGCTGATGACGAGTTCTTAAAGGGTTATAGCAGATTTCTTAACTAAGCTTAGATACAAAAAGTTAAATGACGTGCATTATTACATGAATTGTGCAATGTGCAATGACAATATGAATTATTTCTCATATAGTTAATTACTGGTCCAGTTACAAACGATAAATTGGCAAGGCACCCGACTTAGAAACGTGTAGGCGTTAAAACACTGACGGAACTGGAATTAAAGGTAGCGTGAACACCGGCTACATGTACGTGAGTCCCGTATATACTTGATCAAAATGAGTTGACAGATGGAATATTCACTTCCCACCAGAGTTGTACTTGTATAGTGACCGCCCTGGTCTGTATGTTAACGTGAAGGAGTTCAATTAACACCTCGTTTCAGCAAGGCTTCATGCATATAACATCAGATAGCATTATCATAACTTGTCTGTCCTACGTTATACATATTAGTGTTAAATACACAGATTTGCATCAAAAGAATTTCTCATAATAATTGATTCAGATCTACTTTCGTTATGGAGATGTGAAGCATCGGAAGATATGGCTAATGATAAGCATTTTATGGGCGTTTCAACAAGAGTAAGCTGTCATAGCTCCGTGCACAAGGCGTTGACATCAAGCAGATGCAAAGAATAATGTCCGAAACCACACTCTTATAGTGAAGTATCAAAATGCCAGCAGACAAAGTCAGCAATCTAACCCACTCAGTCATCCCCATTTCCACGGAAATGGAAGTCTGACAACTGGCAGTCTGGTCGGTTGTGCTGGCGTTTTGGTTCTCTCTCTTGAGCGGGAGCTCCAATTCCAAATCTAGGATGACTCAACCCAAAATAGCCCAGGACTCTGCACAATGAAATCTGCAATATCAACCCTTCATATATCACTAAATGGTGATGTTGATGGGCTGTGTTATAGATTCTTAGTCTCATTTGTATGAAATTCCAGCATTAAATACAGCGATAACCATATTCAACCAACGGCAGGTGAGGAGAAGCACCCCATATAGGCCTGGTCTGAATACCAAGGCCAAGAATGAAACTATGATCTTCACACGAATATGAAGTAAAGGATGACATGGAGAGGGAAGTGAAGATCTCTGTTTATGTTCACGCTGTACCTGACCGACGTGGAACTATGCTGCTTATTGTGAAAGAACAGAGTGTATTCGGTTACAGGGATGTGTGTGAGTAGCTGCTTGTACGGACAGACTTTATGGCCCACGATATTCAACATGACCTGACAGACACACTATACATACTTCTCACTATAGCTACACGCTATACTGACACCGACCGACACTAATATAGATTTCAAAACTACGATACTGTATTGAGAATTTATTGTTCAAAACGTGATCACAGGCAAGGAAAGAACCGTATATTGTCTTCCAAAAGTATCCCTCAGGTTCCCTCAGGATCCAACACAGTCAGCGGCCCTTTGGGACAACAGAAGAAGTTGAAAACTAGCCTATATCGGATTTATCGAAGTTGTTTTTCTCAGTATCATGCCCACAACACGTTTGTATGCTCACTCGTTTATTTTTTTTTTCACTGAGGTCATTCCTATTTACATCTTGGCTTGGTGCGTTTTATGAATTTGTAGACTTTGACAGAATGGCGGTTGGTGACGTACAGACGCCTCCGTTTATCAAAGTACAGGCCATATGGGAAGGTGATTCCATCCTTTGATGTCAGTACATCTCTTAGCCATGTTCCGGAAATACTCAGCTGAACCACTTTGTTTGATGTGTCGTCAACAAGTAGAATGTCACCTGTGTTTGCTTCAGTGATACCACATGGATTCATTGCCCGGGGCTGTCCTGTGGATGTATAGTTGAACAAAACGTCCCCATTTTGTGTCATACATAGCACGTGGCCACTGTGGGCGTGACTACAAGACACCAAGATGTGACCTTGACCGCTGGTAGAGAGGAATAGAGGATCTGATACAAGTCCACCTGCACATGTTACAGGATTTAGGGACTTCAACACATTCCCTGTCATATCGAGGATGTCCACACGGGGAGGAGATACGGATCCTGCTACCAGGGATGTCGGTGTCAGAGCTGCAAGACCAAAGTATTTCTTCCTTGTAGAAATGTAGGACTGGAGAACCAGATGAGGTTTCACTTCAACAACTATTATTTCCGTCGTCTCGGGAGTGGTCACGGCTATTTGATGGGCAGTTAGTTTAGCAATCCGTCGAGGGGAGCTCGGAACAGACAGCCTGCTTTGACACGGCTGGTTATCGCTTCTGTAGAAGGATTTGAGGCACCTGCTGTTGTTATCAGTGACGACTATGACGTCTCCATCGCCTTCATTGAAAACTACCACGTCATAAACATGGGGTATACCTGTCTCATCTTCTGTGTGTATGTCCACTGTGTCATGTAGCACTGGTGTAGACTCGGAATCAAACACATCTTCATATATGGTGTCAATTTCACCTAGGCTTACCTCGTCTATGTTGTTACTGATCTCTTTACAGTCGTGGATAAAACATACTTTGTCTCTCAGTCCATGTTTTATATCTGAATCCGGGTCGTATTCAGTGGGACACTCCTCTGACTCGCACCACAGGTACATCTCAAAGGTGTCCATTTCATTTCCAGACTCCAGAGCTCTGTCTATCATCACAGAATGATGACATATCATCTGCTTGGCCATCTCTTCAGACTTTATCTCAGCTTTCAGTCTCTCCATCTGTTTCTCAGTAGCCTCATCCAGTTGAGCCAGGAGTTGTCGTTCCTTCTTCTTAACGGCTTCTATCACAGTCTGGATTGCCGACTGGATCTGACTCTGAACGGTGGGTTTGTGTTCCAATACCTCACTATACTTGGTTTCTAAATCCGACAGCAGTCTGTCTTTTGCTTCTAAATCACATGCTAGTCTTTCCTTTACTCCTGTAACACAGGTGATCATTTTTGGCATAACAGACTGAAAGGGAACAACAGTCACACACTTTCTGTGGTACAAGATGCAACAGGATTGACACTGTAGTTTCTTACAGTCCGTGCAGTAAAACTGCATGCTTTGATCCGGGTGTTCCTTACAGAAAGCTTTGTGTCTGAGTTTGACCTCTGTGGACAGGTTAGTTACGTCATGGTGACGCGTGGCTGGAATACGTCTGTGTGCCTTAAGGCATCCTTCACAGAGACTGCTCTCACAGTCAGTACACCAAGCAGTAGCTTGGGGAGCCTCTCCTGCATCACCGCAGAGGATGCACTTCGGAGAATCTACAAGGACATGCATATAATATTACAAACGGATTCTTCTTTAACATTTCAACCTAAATACACTGAAATTACCAGGGAAATTAAAGAACATAGATCCTGTGCATTTCAACATGTTTAACCAATTCGTCAATACCTTTCGTCTTTGGATTGAACGAATCCAGGAGACCCTGTATTAAAAAGCTGGGTTTCACCTCCTGTGCCCAATCTTCAACTGGTTTGTGTGAGGAGGTTACTTTTGTCATCTTACGGCAGAATGGACAGATGAGAGACTTGGCACTGATGGCTTCTGGTCTGGTTTGAGTGTACCTGACGACACACTTCCGACAGAAGGTGTGATAACATACAAGGGTACAGGGGCCGTCGAAGACGTCCATGCAGATGCTGCAAGTCAAAAAGTTGTCTTTCAGTTGCTGCTGCGTCGTCATCTGAAATGATCAAATTCAAACATATGAATAACTTGATATCGTATATCTTTTCATCTATAAGTATTCATTATCAGTTATCATTGAAATATGGGCAATGTGTTCAGGATCATAAATGTGTGTCTCTGTGTTTGTGACAATAATAAAGCTAGTGTTACAACAGATGTGTATATTGGTACCTGGCCAGGTAAAACCTCATTTAATGATACGGGTCGCGTACCGATCTGTCGAATTTCTGATTTCGGAGTAGTAAGGATTAATTATAAAAAACATTGGATCATACCAAAAAAAAGACGCAAGGGGTGGTTTGACTCTCTATATTTTTTTTTACTTTTGTACAAAATTGAAATTGATGCATTAAATAAAATGCATTCATAAGGAGAAATATATAGTTCGTGATGTTCAAACGTCTCGAGTAGTAATTTAGACTTGATGCATAAACCTGGGAGTATAATAATGTAAGGTATACAAAGTCGCACGGTAGGGATTAAACTAAGGAGTCTCTCTAATCTCAAATATCTTTGTTATAAAAATTGCTTAACACAAGGTAAGTTTTTCATTTTTGTTAGCTAGTGGTCCTACAAACTTAACAAAAAAATGGGTGCTTTGCATAATATTCTGGTAGATACTTTTTTGTCTGCTATCCTCATACCTAGGACATACAAGATGGACATGGAACTCGTCTTCATCTGTGTTTCTACAGAACGGGCAGAGCGATGCATCAGGGTCAGAGTTTTTAGCCCGCCGGGAATTTTGTATACAGAAATTATGAGCACTACATCTGAACTTCGAAAGAGCTCTGCGGAGCTTACCTATATCCTGTGCAAGGCACGTCCGTCCAAAGCCATAACTAAATAGTAATTTCCTAACATATGATACCCAGTTCGATGTCAGCAATCAGAAAGTCTTCACCGGAATCTGTTCTTGTTCATTAAAAAAACCCATGTAGTCTAATCCAATACAAGCCGACCCCTTAATTAATGAACTTAGACTCTCCCAGTGTGTTAACACAGTCTGAAATTCGACCGATTAGCACAGAACCACTCGAGCATGATTCAACGGATCGGCACTGCTGGCTGTTAAAAAATCGACGGATAAGGCCGTAATCATTGACACGTTGGCTTTCTGAGGAAATTGTTTGAAACAGTAGAGACAGAATTGCCGGGAAGACTGAAGACAGCGATCTTCGAAGACGTAATGTGTTTCGTCATACAAAAGTTGTTAAACAAGGTATTGAAGAGAAAAAAAGTGGTCAATTCATGAGTCACAGTTCTGAGAATGTTCAAGAAAATGGTGTCACAAAAATAATTGCTTCATCATACCAAACCAAAGTCGGGTTGTGGAAGGGGTTTGGTGTGAATCCCATGGTTTTATGAGCTGTTAGGTACATGGGTGTGTCTGTGCGTGTGTGCGCACGTGTGTGATGTGTGTGACTGAGTGTGTGTGTCTCTCTGTGACTGAACCTATTCATGCCAGTTTTACAGTGCTAGCCCACTAAGATACCGTGCTCCAGTTTAACATGGATACGTAACAAAACACCCAGTGTCCTGACTCGGAGCCAACATGTCGTCGTTGTAACACCTTCATATCGGGGGCCAGACAGAGTGTCACATGGTCAGGGATCGAACCACAGATCTTCCACTGTTTGGGAAGGCGCTCCACCCACTAGACCACGGAGGCGGTCTCAAGGTACCGTGATGTCTGACACGGGCAATCAAATGTGGATCGGATGACTGATTGTTATTGATTGATACAATAACATCCCATTACTCAATGTTAATGATAATTAATGGAAACGCCCAGGGCAATCGGATGTATGTAACTGAATTATTGATTGATGCATGTTATGAGAAGGAGTCATGACCTGAGTGTTGTCTCTGAGGGCTTAGTATCAGAGCTGCAGAAGTAGCAGTAATGTCAGACAATGCTGTCCAATAGGAACATACTGGACAATACAAGAAAAACACATGTGACTCCAAACAGGAACAAGGAGACCATCACGTTCGTGTAATGTTGACCCCAGACAAGAAAATCAAGACAGTACCTTTAGTATTGTCGAATGTCTCCATCAACCTTGCCGCTGGACCGACAGTCGTCGTCGACACGGTGCTGTCATAGGCGGGGTTGTAACTGACAGCTGTTGCTTATAAACGCTATTACCCAACTACGTGTATTGTGTACAACTTGCTGAGGTAGCTGGCAACACATGTTACAATATCGATATATAATCTATTATAACGTTTGTATGGTGTTATCCCTAAGTAACTATGGCACGTGGTACGGACATTTTGTCGGAAGTTAGGAGTACAGAACAATGAGAACTTTTATAACTTATTATGAATTCAAGTTTCGAGTTCATACAAAAGTGCTGACATTTTGCGCAATCCGCAGGGGATAATAGCAGCAAACCATGATAAAAAAGGACGAAGATGGTATGTGTTCATGAATCGAGCAATGATGATAACAGATCTTCGCTGAACTGAATTAACTCATTCCTTGACCACGTTCCGATTCCCTGAGTATGTGAATCAGTCGTAAAATATCTTAAAGTGTCCTATGTTCCGCATTAGAACGTAAGAGCACGACCAAGACAGGAGTAGACCTGCAACTGTCACTGTACATTGATGTGTGTTCAATATGTCTTCATATCTGAGACTTCATATCTATGTAACTATAGATATATCTATGCATGACACAGTAACCCTCTGTTGCATGGCTGGCGAACTGTCTGAATTGCTGCCGTTTCCTGTGAAGACGTCCGTATTTATTTGCGGTTCATGGGTTCGAATCTCATGTTCACACTGATCCATGTTTCCATAATATGCCATGTGTTTTATAAACACGAAGCCATACAACATACAAGAATGCTGATAAAAATCAACGGACTTCGTCATAAAATCAAAATTGCGTGGTCCCTGCAAATTCTGTTAAGTCTTTACCTCCGGCAAGAACTAAGAGGAAGCACTTTAGTGCCGTAATCCATTTACCTGGAACTTGATGTTTTATCTGACATCTTGAATCAATATTTTACCTATCAGAGGTTTTCCAAAGCGGTTTCCAAGAGTTAAACAATATGGAACGAATGCTTTTACCAAAAAGAATCTAACGAATTATTTTTCCCACAGAAGAAGAAACACATGTATCCGCATAATAATTAAGTACGTTTTTAGTACCATGCCACGTGGCATTTACCTTCCTCTACGTCCACTGGCCGAGAAGCTGTTTCTACTAAAAGCCGTCTAAAGTGGGAGTCAGATGCGCCATACTAGTGAACGAGCTATCACATGCTTGATAACCTACTCGAACGGCAGGGATCGTTACAATATATTGACCAATGAGCGTCCAGACCTGCGCACACCCATCGTAAGGAGACGTAATATGGCTGACGTAACACCGCCAGTTGACTCCTTACTGTACAGGAACATTCATGAAGTACCAGACACATACATGATTAATTATATATCAGGCATTGATAGCAGACTGGAGTCAGTGAAATCTTTTATCACACAATACATGCCTCTTTTGAATTGTTTCCAATGTTTTTCTCTATAGCTACCGTTCGCTAGACTTGCCTAACGCTATCATCCCGATAGATCAAATCATATGAAATGCAGACATTCGCTAGTCATAGTGTAAAGTGAAGGACACATCACTTCACTAACGACAAGATATCTCGATTGTCGCTTGTACGACTTTTATAGCTACATGCTTCACGTTACAACTAAACCTTTTAAAATGCATCTATTGAATGTCTGATGTTCCTGCAGTAGCTCTTAATATCTATAAAGTTTAATTTCTAGGGTTAGCTTGATGCGCACTGAACCTAACAAATACATCCTTTTGAAGAAGAGAAACCAATTACATTCTGCAGTTTGCTATATTTCTGCTAAAGAACACATTCTTTTCATTTCGCTGTTGGGTGTTGAAAGCGTACGTTTGGTAACTGTTAATCCCTCTTCGAAAAAGCAATCACTGTTCATAGATTTTTGTCTTTCACAGCTCCAGGTTCCCCAGGACGACGGAAGTTATGATTGTCACTGACAGTTCTAACGAACTTTCTTTATTACGTATCGGTGTAGAGAAGCACTTCAAGCTAATTGCCAAGCTCTCCAGTGAGCCGGACAGAGATTACATCTGCCTCTTTGTTGCATATCACTGCTTGTGATCATACAACATTGAGCGAACTATTTTGGAAATGTGATCAAAATCAATCATATTAACTCATATTACGCATGGCGTCTTAGATATTGTCAAGAAAGTCGATTACATTGAGAATGTTTACACAGTTCTTCCACCCTCTAGCAAAGTAGAGCTGAATTTATTTGGATAGAAGCCGGAGATTGCAAGCTTACACTGTTATCAATAAAATGTGAATAGAACCGACTTGGTCACCTTGGGCCACGGCAAGGCGTATATGTACGCCGGACTTGGTCTGTACACACTGGCCTGCTGCAAGGTTGTTTGCTTTGTGGGGGACTGTTATTGTAGATACATCTAGCCCCCCAGTTGGGATATTTTATATGGTATTTCTTATTCTATATTGTATAACACTAGAATGAAATGAAATAAGGCTCAGTATAAACTCCAGATATTTAAGTGTCATTACCGATTGAGATCTATTTTTGCAGGCAAGTCAATATTTATTCACGATGACATTATGGCGTAATTGAATTGTGTAATAGTCCTTTCAGCTCTGAGTTATTTAGGGAATCTTTTACGATGAAAAGTAATTTAATATTGATTAATAAGTCAGCGAAGAACAAAATGTGTCCTGATTTATGAATTCCTGTTTATGTGGAGTTATAGCTGTTATAAACGGTAATGTGTCGCCTGGAAGCAGAAAATATTACATATATTACATTCACGTATTTGTCACATAAATCTGTTTTATCTCTTTTCCACATTTTCTTCCATGCGTTGTTGAACATAATATTTTGTCAAAGCAATGTCTAAACCCATCACGCCACATTTAATAATACTCTGGAGTCTTATCGCCTAATGGATTCCAGGAACATCTGAGAATTCTACGCTTAAGCAGAATGTAATGAGCTTATCGGTAATGCTGGAAATTCAAATAATGTATTTTTTTACAAACAGAACACCTCAATTTCCCCAGCATGTTAAATATTAAAGGTGATTAAGCCAGTGGAAGACGCCAGTGAGTAAATAACCCGATGTCGTTTTTCTCCGAGGTTGGATCTGAACATTAGAAGATATGAATTCCTTGACTAATGCCAGGAAGAAAGTTCATGTTCGTCACGATGTATTTTCTGGTATGTCTAATGTGATCGAAAAGTGATAATGTTGAAATCTGTCAGGAACAGGAAGCTCGGGGACCAGAAAGAAACAAAATGGTGTCATGGTGTTTTATGTTCCTAGTTTCAAGGAGGTACTTTATTCCATGTACACGGTATCAACACAGTGATATGACGGGGATATCTTCAGACCAGATCAGCGCCAGGAACATTCCTGCTGACTCGAAACCGAATACTCCACCATCGAGCAATTGCGTGTTTTATAGTCCATTTCATGTCTGGTCGTTTTGACAAAAGAATGTTGAACTCAACACCGTACATATACTCATCGTCATTTATTTGCGATAACATGAGGAATACGACATTCCCAAACTAACTTATCTTGTACACGGGTCACATACACCACAAAATCACACACTCACGTAACCATCACTAAATATATAGTTACCGTATTTACTGTATTACACACACAGTGGGTACTCTGCGACAGACAAATCTCCCTGAATTCCACGAATACTTCTGCTACATCTGTTATCCCTCAGCTATATGGAATCACCGAGACTACACACACGAATAACCTAATGCAAGACTGGGCTTTGGAAGTTGGTATCAATCTCTAGAACATGGATCATATAAATTGGCGACATTTAAAATATATATCATCCTAAAGCATACGATGTGTTCTCGTATATGTACATCCATCTTGTTGAATAATCATGATATTAATGCTCAATGTATATATAACATAACATGGATTAGCGTATCTATCATTTCATGCTGACAAAACATTATATCAAGGTTTTAATGTTGAATGATGTACGGTTTATCAAGGTTCAACTAATGGAAGATACAACATTCCAACAAATGATCAATACATGTTATAACATTTCAGTCAAGGTGTGAATGATCAAGGACAAATGTTTATATCCTATAACACCGTGTCATGTTAACGTGTGTGTGTTATAAAACTAGACCAATGTCCAATGATAGTATGCTATAACACTGTTTAACGGTCCTGTGATATACATGTAACACCGTAATGTGTTTAACATTTATATCATATAACGGTAGATCAACGATTTATGATATAACATTATATGAAGAGTTCCACATTTATACAATGACATTATAGAAAGGTTCAGGTTCCACATGATATAGCACTGTTTCACGGCTCTATGCATTAATGGTAGATCACATATGACGAATATCATCAACGCCAGATAACTTTACATCTACAGTTCACTAATCCAAACCATTCTTCCAGCACATTCATACTAGCATTTATTTATATAAAAATAGAGAAATATTGCCTATAAAAGCTGTTATACATATATCTTGCCATTATTCATGGATGTGAATAATATTAGGTGCCTATAGATTACAGTGCGCTTGGACAATGTACTGTATATATCACTTGTACATACCAACAAAGACGTTTTGCACATTTGAGACTGTACCACATATTAATTATGGGCTTGATAATGAACGATACATATAGAATATACCTGTATCAAAAACTATACTTATTTGACAGCGTTTACATAAAACAAGAATTCTCTTGTTTGTCAGATATCGCCGTATAATGCAAATACTTTTTAAAGATATGAAAAAAGGGTCCTGTGAAGGGAACGTTTGGTCGAAGACTTACCAGTGTGTCGCAATCTGCGATCAATTTGTTTTGAAAGATTACGGTCAAGTAAATGAGGTGGTAACCACGTGATATTGGTACAGTGCAGTAATGGTTGATGTTTGTGCCGCTTATGCCGTTTGTTTGATCAGTCAACTATTGCTTCCTGCCAAATGTCTACTGACAGTTTATTACTGTGTGTATGTAAATAGGGTTTCTATGTGATTATTAACATCAAATAATGAACTGTAAAGTCTGGAGATGATCATACGCAATACAACTTGGTCTCATTACACAGTTACCCTAAATACATACACTGTTCACATGGGAATTGCTAAAATGACAGTCCACATGTTTGAAACATTAAGCATGAAATGATTGATACATCAAACATCAAACACGAAGAGTTTGACAGATCAAACACGCTAAATGTTTGAAACATTAAACATGGAATGTTTAGAATATCAAGCATGCACTGTTTTAAGGTTAAAATTATTTAAAACACCAAACACGTGAGTTCTTCCAAACATCAATAAAACAATAACCAACGTTTACTTCTTATAGCAAACAATCCCTATATCATACAGAAACCATTTATGATCAATTAATTAGCCTCAGTGTGTAAATATCGACATGCCACGATCATGGTCTCAATGAAAGTATCACAAGACTCCTGGTGTGATCTCTTCAACATTGTTACCCTGTGTTCAAACAGCGCACACTCGGTCCTCAACGCTCTTCATACCACAGAAAATACATGATCCGTTGGTCCTCGTAAAGCTGGAACTGCCAGATGTCTATGCAGTGATGCAATGCCTCAAAAACGTGGCTTCAGTGTTTTGTGCCTCCCACTCCGGAAACAAATTCCGTTTTTATATTCACCAGTGAATCATATATCATTATGCAATACTATGTAAGTTTTCTAAAGGTTTTTTTTCAGTAATAGCTATACAAAATACAAGACATGGTGACATATACCTATGCAAACTATGTATTGACAAACGCTAGACATTATTGCCATTGGTAATGGTGTCATATATTTGAGTTTCTTTTGAAACGTTTCGGTTTTTATCTAGTGACCATGAATGAGAGAATCTACATATGGTATCCAGAAGGTTTGTAAACAAATGTTTTTCTAGTTTCTGTTTCATCGCATTCTATAAATCGTAGCCAAGCATCCCTAAGAACCAAATTATATGAACCACGGTAATATATAGATGGATGGACCAATTTTGTCCGTCGTGGAAAGAGTGGAAATGTGAGTAGGAAAGCTTAATGCTTCTTCCTTGGAATTCGAGGTAGATCACAAATAAGGCAAGACGACTTTAAAAGTTCTCCAAGAAACGCCAAGCCATTTGGCAGAGGTGGATATGCACTGGCGTCAAAACTCAGGTTCATCAACTGCAAGGAAAGTTATTGTTTATGAGACGCTGCGCAAACATGCAGTTAGCAAATATTAGCATGTAAGCATCTGCTCATGTAAATCGTGATTATGTCTTCCAACAATAGCGGACGACAGGATTAGCATAGTCTGATTAACAGGCAATAAATATTAATGTACAAGAGATACGAAAACAATCTTTTCGATGTTACAGTTTATGAGATATGTATTAAATGAAAACCAAAAGTAACAAAAACGCTATCATATATAACGATGTATATTTTGAATGTAATATATAATATATATTTGTTGTGAATGTAAAAGTTCCTATTTGTGAATGCATATATGCGTATATATATAGACAGAAAATATTACATAACACTTATTGTATTCTTGCGTGTTTTCCTTTCCTCCTTCATCCTATTCCTGTAGTCTAAGGTAAAAGGTATGGATCGTACACCCTATTGTTGTTACGTTATATTTGATATTTAAGACGGAAAGTCGTATTTCAGTCTGCTATGATATCATACAAGTCAGCATTATCAATGGTCTGCTCTCACCAGAATGGTCAACGTGTCTCAGTTTGGACCGAGATCGATGTTGTTGCCTCCGTGTACGCTGCTGAGGTCGTATAACAGCATACATATACGCTGAAATATACGTTCAGGTTGTAGTTGCAGCAACTATTGTCATCAGGAGTAATAGCGGCGGGTACTAGTCAGAGAGAGACAGAGAGAGAGAGAGGTGTATGGCCAGACAAGAGGTCAAGATTGTCAACAGTGCTGTCTGGGGACGATCACGCTGCTGCCTCTAGGGTATGGGTGAGGTATAATGGTGAGTACAACAGGTATGTTAATGATAATAGTGATAGTGAAGCGGATAGCTGACGTAATTCCTGGAGTAGACAGTTATCCAAAGGACATTGCTGAAGGGCTATGCAAGGACACAGCTGACTATATAGTCGGGAGGAACTGGACCAGGAGGAACTGCTGAAGCGGAAGGTGCAGGCAGAAGGAAGTTGTGAGCAAGGTTACCTTGAGGACATTGCTGAAGCGAAGGCAGATAAGCATAAGGTGGTGTTTTGAGAAAAGATATAATTTTATTCTATTGAGCATTGCTCAAGCGAAGGTAGATATGCAGTAGATGGTGTTTATGGAAACGATAGAACAGTTATATTTATTGGACATTGCTGAAGCGAAGGCAGGTAAGCAGAACGTGGTAATTTGTCAAAGGGAAAATGTTTGTGTCCTTTTGGCATTGCTGGAGCAAAGGTAGGTGCAGTGGCGGTATTTTGGGAGAACGTAGATCTTATGTCTGTTATGCATTACCGAATCGAAAATTGATATGCAGAAGGCGGTATTTGGAAGAAGTTAGACTTTTTATTTGTTGGGACTTGCTCAAGCGCGGTGCGGAGGGCGCTGGAATTTAGGAGAGAAGCAGCAGTGTCATTGGTGAAACAATGTTAGAGGGTCATGTAGCACTCATGTAGCACAGTGCAAAGGGTCAACTGAACAAGGAAGGATGGCTGAAAAGTTCTGAGCCTAATTACGATGCCAACTATGTGTTTATGGTGTTGTGTGCTCATTGTTGACATCAAATAAACCTCTCCGATAACAAACTTGTGCCAACCTTACTGGAGAGACTGGTGCTCAGTACTGTAGAAGGCTTCGTGGTGGTGGTGTTGAGGGTCCTCCTCAGCAGAACTGACCACATTTTCATTTGCATTATGCCAGACAGTGTTTTCCTAAATTTCATTAAGCGGTTGAGATGTTTAATGAGTTCAAGCCTCCGTCATGTATTGCTGTCAGTTTGTGATTTGTTTACGCCGTTATGTTTTGATCGTCTCACGAGTTCCTTTAGCATATCTACATAATATTGGTCATTGTAGGACGTAGTCCACAAGAAGGATTAATTTTTAATCGGGGTTGCAAATCCAGACTTTATGACTATGTGACGTGTGGTGAGTATTATCACCAGGTCTTAGATCATGTTTCTTCCCCTCCTGAACTCCACTTCCTCCACAGAGGAAGATAATCTACTGACGGTGACAGCATGTCCGCATGGATGTTGAACATTTTCTTTCAGTTGGCGATAGATGATAGCAGCCAGCTGTGTCCACTTGCAAAGAGAATACACTTCCATGCCTGGTTGAGACTTTGGTTCACATACAGACTGTAAGCACGGGATGCATGGTACTTATGATATATAAACTGTGTGGGTTAGGCTCAGATCATTGTAGTCACCCCTCCTACGAGAGGACATGCACTCCATGGTATTATATTAGGAGTGGCAATTTGTTGTTTGTGAGAGACCTATCAAAAGTATATTTGGCAATAGTTCCAGAGGTAAAGATGGCCTATGATTAGAGTATAGTGTGAATTGATGAAGGGATAAAGGGGCCTTCTACGGTGTGCTAACGAATAGTCTGGGGATAAGTGTCATTTTGGAGTTGTTTTTCAATGATTTGTGTCAAAACAAACTTGTAGAGAAACGACATGGGGTGACATGGCATTGGTGAGGCTGTATGCAAGAAGACATAGCCGGAGAGGAAACTGTGTGTTTTAGGAAGTGAGAACAGTGTGCATTGTCAAGGAAGATGACCAACAAAGTGTTTTGGGAGAATAAAAAGAACTACTTGCAAAAACACATAGTCAAGAAAAAGGTGTTTCTGCAAAAATGTAACAAAACATATTTACAGGAAATAAGAGCTCTAGAAAAGTAACACATTGTGTCTCATAATGATGGATTTATATGCTAAGGTATTTAACATGAAACTACATAACAATGAACACAAACAATATAACCTATTCCTCATTAATTCTACCCATCCAATAACTGATCATATATTTAATTCAATGTTACCGAATAAATATCTTAACAATCTTATGTTTCAAGATGCGCTTCAGAATATTCATTTTTGTACTTGATCATTGATCGATGATGTCAGAAATAACTAACTTTAAGATATTGCTTCAAGTTTGACATCAAAGACATAATATTAACTTCATGTTATATTTATAAACGAAGAGCGGGTTCTCACCATATTTTTTAACATAAGGTCCATTAGCAAAATCATCCATATCTTCCTCCAGATAGTGTTGCTGTCTCCGCCGCCTAAGCATTCGGCAACAAAAGGCGATAATACCCACGACAATACTCCCTCCAACAACTGAGATGAGTACTGCAAAGTTTTCACCCGGAAAGGGGTCGTATGCTGAAAGTAATCAATTTGGTAGGCATTAAAACTTGCACATTAAAGACACACACTGGAAGTGTTTACATCTGAACATGATGTAGAATTCCTTTTCGGCGTGTTTATACTTGTTCCGAGATCAGCTTACTAGATGGTTCAGTGAGGGATGATTAATGAATAGTTTCGTTTTCAGATAAAGATGATTAATTGTTGTTCTGTTCTATGAATACAGTTCATATGCTACATCCTCGCATCTTGACAAACCGTGGATAGATTAGACAGGAATATGTGCATGATTACAAAGACCGTCACACACTCATGACAGAGCATAGCGATCAATATTTTGGCACAAATCTTTCAGCAGACTTACTTATACAATAGGCAGTGGAATTCTCTGACTCATCCGAGCGATCAAAACAGTTGTTTGTCCCGTCACACAGTAAATCCTTAGAGATGCAGTACTTGTTGTGACACAAAAAGTCGTCACATTTGTGAGCTGAAAAAAGATACCATTTTGAAATCACTGACAAATAAACTTTCTACCTGTTTGGTGGAGAGGAACCAATAACGCTTGGCAAATGCAAGGCTTTAATCATGATATCTCATGTGGAACAGGGTCTGAGTGCACAACTCAAACAGCCATGCAATTACTGCAATTACTTGACTGCATAGCGTGCACCTTGTTGATGGAAGGTCAATTCAATTCAATTCAATATTTTATTCCGACAAATCACCATTGGTGGTACGGGAACAGTACAAATTAATTCATAACATAAATGATGAATTAATATGATCACTTGGTAACAGTGAATATATTAGTGCATTTATCCTTTTATAGTGTAATTGATAATTATTATAAATCTTGAAATATTCTTCACAAGTGGATAATCCTCTAAGGTAAACAGTAGTTTAAATTTTGCGAGATTCGGCCTTTTACTGTAATAAGTCGGGATATATTGGAATCTTATGTTGTCAAAAAACCCGAACATTTCAATAGATAGTGGAATTCGTCGGCTATCGCCGGTGAATTAAAAAGATTACAATTTCTGTTTATTCTTCGTATATTTTTCCAGCGGCCAGTCTCTATTGGTAAATGATGGGTTCGATGTCCGAGATGACATAAGGGGCCGAGAGACGTAGACAGGTAATAGAAGGTACTTTTCAAAAGACGGCAGATCTTTGAACAGTTTATAATAATTACCCTTTGAACTTTGTGAATATCTTCCCTCCATTTCTGTATAAAATGATCTTTAAGAGTTGATTCAACAATTGAGACTAGCCACTGTTTACAAACACAACTAGGGTTATCAAATACATAAGTTAAGCAACAACTGTTTAAAGTACTTTTTGTGTGAGAAATCCATACGTTATTATTATTTTGAAGAGTTGAAGGACACGCGATCATAACCTATACGGGGAAGATGCGGTTTATAAATTATACCAACATGTGATCATCCTTTTAGCTATTGTAATGCTCACAGGGAAACGACCCAGTTCGCCGTAAACCATGAAGTTAGCTATAGGGGGTTGATAATCGTAAGCCTGTAGCAAACTTAAGAAATTTAAGATGAAACTTTTCAATATTTACAGTATTTTCATGCCCCCATATTTCGCTGCCATATAAGGCAATAGGTAGTATTAAAATATCAAACAGATCAATTACAGTATCTTGATTTTTTCAGTAATGCAAACATGGCTTTCTTAGAGCTAGACAATAAATCATTGATTCCGAAATTAAATCCCCTATTGCGGTGAAAGGTGATGCCAAGATACGTTTAATTATTTACAATTTCAATTGGTTTAGCGTCAGACTGAAAAGATAGCTTAGATTTGTTACCGACACCTCCTCCAAATATAATAATCTTAGTTTTTGCTATGTTAGCACGGTTGTTCCATGTATCACAATATGTTTTGAATACATCAAGGGAATTCTGAAGTTCTTTCTGGGTTTCCCCTAGAAGTATCGCATCATCTGCATATAGCAAAATCATGAATTTGATACACATGTACACAAAATCATCATACACACAATTGACGTCGACGCTCTCAAGAAAAACATCCAAATCACTGAGAAAAAAAAGAAAAAAAAAATAGTGGTGAGAGATTTTCCCCATGTCGAACACCAGAATAACTAAGGAAGAAATTGGAAATTGGGTTGTCAACCATAACATAAGATTTTATATTACTATACATACGCTGAAACACCAGATGATAAAATCAGATTGAAAAACGAAACATAAAAGTAGCCAAGGATATTAAATGAATCAATGAAGGAGTCATTTTCAATCAAATCAAGGCCTGAGAAACATGTGGGCACGCGACATTGTTACTATATATACTGTATTTATATACATTTACCGTTAATTTGTGGGTGAGGCAATGGGTCTTTTGTCCCTTCGAATCGGTTTGCATCTATACACCGTTGACACCAAAAGCAGCCCATATTGAACATGTGTGTCCACACCAGTTATTAATTAGGATTAATACGCTTACAGGTATATATGAAAAAAACGAAAAAACGAGATTATTTGGTGACAAATTTCCCAACCATAAATGTCAGAGCATTAACCTAGTTGTGTTAAGGAGATCAGTAGATGGCCTTTTCTAAGCTTCATTTATATGTTAGACAGAAATTACTAGCCTCCCACATGGCTGATATTGTCGCCTACGTCGAGTTAATTCAAGGCAGTGTGTCGTTCTGACCTTAAGACCTCGACTGGTTGTTTTCGAAGGGGGCAACAGCATGATATAGGACTATCGTGTCTAGTTTTCATCTTGTTTAATATTGTTTTTGCTTCAAGGATTCAAAACAATCTACTGCATCATAATCAAATGCTGTTTTTTTGTTTTCTTTTAAAAATGAATTGAAATATTACTTTACCGTTTCACTATACCAACAGGATGACTCGGTTCCCCTTGGACAATAATGGTTTTATTTTACGTAGCGACAGGTTTACTTCTTGTACAAACGGGTGAGGGTGCGATAAGGGTTATAGATCAAAGAAAAGCAACTGTTTTTTAATCCATATCACTCAGTAATGCGTATTACACATGGATTATGTTAAAATACCAGCACACAGAGAATCAATGTGCCCCTTCAGTACATCGGCCCAGTCTGTGCTATACCATTATCGTGGACTGAAATGTTGGAGCTATTCCAACTGTACGGGACAGATAAGCCACAACCAAATGAACGACTATCGAGCATGCGCTGAGATGCAGTTAAGAACGACTATCTACGTTAGATAGAAATATAATACTACAATCAATGAGACATACTGTGTGGTTGGTATATTAGCTTTATCCCTGGTCCTTCTATTTAGAACACGTGTATTATGCAAATGAGTTGCATTTGTTGCAGTGTGACTTTAAATTCAGGAAAGGCCGAATTTCTGTGTTTTGTCTCACTATGAACTAGATGAATGTTTTATGCGATACCCTAAAGAGTGTCATGATTGCTGGCACACCCGTGAGATCCACTATAAATTGGTTTTGGAATTTACGAACAGGCCATTTTTACAGATGAACAAAAGAAGGACATTATTACATAGCTTGACAGCGTATTGCACAGGCTTGATACACAGACCGTACACAGGAACGTCGCCAACGGGGAAGTCCCCCCGGAACACAGCACACAACAGCTAGTCACTATATGCACAGGCTTGATACACGGACCGTACACAGGAACGTCGCCAACGGGGAAGTCCCCCCGGAACACAGCACACAACAGCTGGTCACTATGTAGCAGTGGCCTGCCCTTCAGTTGTATATTCGGGGACTTGCAATATCGAAGGTATACAGACATATATTGTTGAAACATACCCAAAACTGGAAAACAATAACACGTACACGTTTTGATTAATTGTTCTTGTATTATCTATAATGATAATAATGCTATTTATTTTTTCAAGTGAAGGTTTTAATGAACAACCTTTGTATCGACCTAATTTGAAGAGTGTTGAGGTGAACAGCCTCCCTGTATGAAGTCGGCTGGCCCGGAAAGTGAAACAGAAGGTTCGATCCTTTTATTACCGTCTACCCCACGTTTTCTGGGTCAGAACCACAAGCATGGGGAAGAGGGTAATAAAAGGATCGCGCCACACTATCATATTGTTGATATACCGTTTGTACGAACGTTGAACATCCCCGACAAGGTGTTGGAGAGTCTCATTAAATTCATTGCATAATCTACACTTCATAATTACATTTTGATGCGAAATCACACCAGTCTGTTTCAAATGGGCTGTGACTAGTCGTCACATTCTTCGACACGTTTGTGTGGGTTGCTGTCGAAAGTGCGTCCAGGGAGAGGTCCCATTAGACAATTATCAAGGCCTTTATTCTACAGTTTCCTCGAATTCATGTTCCAACTGTCGCTTAGTTGTACTTCTGTTTACTGTTAATTTTTTTAAAGCATATCCCAAAATCTCCCGCTACATTTGTTGCATCTTAATAATAAAGTATTATTATTCATTACATGTGTAACTGTGTACATCTCCCACCTTGTATTATTTACACAGGTACACAGGGCGGGATATGCTGACATGTTCGTGGACATCTGGTATCATGATTACTTTATATTGATTCAAGCTAATAAACATAACAGTAGACGCAACTCAAGCCTTCCACATTCATAGGAGATCTGTCGAGATGTACACAGGTGGCTTGGTCATGTGTTTGAGTAGAAAGCGAAGAGTGCCGTTTGCACGAAACGTTCACTATTTACAGAGGTAATATGTTCGTGAACATCGAGTTCTTGACATCTGAGATGGCACACGTGACGATCTCATTGGACACAAAATAAACTGTTGTCAGCTGTTTTTGGTTGCAGCAGCCGTAACATTCCGTTCCTACCAAGAACTATCATTCATCATTCATTATCAAGTAATTTGCATTATAGATATACACCTACGCTTAAATGCACTACAAATATACACCAACGTTTACTTGCATTATAGATATACACCAGCGTTTATTTGCATTATAGATATACACCAGCGGTTACTTGTATTACAAATATACACCAGCGTTTACTTGCATTATATATGCCAACGTTTACTTGCATTATAGATATACACCACCTGTTACTTGTATTACAAATATACACCTACGTTTGAATATACGCCAAAGTTTACTTGCACTATATATATACGCCAACGTTTACTTGTATTATATATATACACCACCTGTTACTTGTATTACCAATATACACCAATTTTTACTTGTATTATAGATATACACCAGCGGTTACTTGCATTATAGATATACACCACCTGTTACTTGTATTACAAATATACACCACCTGTTACTTGTATTACAAATATACACCTACGTTTACTTGTATTATAGACATAAACCAACGCTTACCTGTATTATAAATATACACCAGCGTTTACTTGTATGATATATATATATATATACACCAGCGGTTACTTGTATGATATATATACACCAGCGGTTACTTGTATTACAAATATACACCACCTGTTACTTGTAGTATAGATATACACCAGCAGTTACTTGTATTACAAATATACACCACCTGTTACTTGTATTGTAGATATACAACAGCGGTTATTTGCATTATAGATATACACCAACGTTTACTTGTATTATATATATATACACCACCTGATACTTGTATTATAAATATACACCAGTGGTTAATTG